CAATCCACTGAAAAAGTATGCCAGTATGTTAGTTCACTAACGCGTACCCAATTACCAACTCAAAATTGCGTGTTCTTACGTACGAGTCAGAGATGTACCGGCTCCTGCGCTCAGAAGGAAGCTTTCGGTGACAGCCTACGTTGCTGAAAGCACGTGACATCGATCGTCACCGCTCCTTGTGCGCGCACCGCACACACGCGGTAAAATGGTCGATTTAGGCTCAGGGATGTCTAAACTGTTCTTTACAGTCATTCTTACACTTTATAATTGTGCCTACCTAAAGTAAAAGCGCCGGCAGCAGGTACACAAACGCGGGTGGCACGATAGGCCTCGCGGTAACTGCTTTCGAAGCAGCTGAGTTGCGATGCTTGAAGTTTCTGCATATGAGCTTCGCAATATTTCTAACTGTTACCCAAACTGCACCTGAAATAAATGGAAGGTCAATCAATGCCAGGAATTGCATTTACGGAGTGGCGATGGCGAGCGACAGCCGTTTTTCTGCCCTCCGCAGGCAGTACAGCGGGCGTGCCAGTGTACAGATATATGCATTTACATCAATACCGACAAATAAAAAACACCCATAGAAATATCAATGCAATCTGCTGAAAACGTATGCCAGGGAGTCATTTCACGAAGGCGTACCAAATTACCAACTGAAAATTGCGTGTTGTCACATATCAGTCAGAGAAGTACCCGCTAAGTGCGACAGGCAGCTTTCGGTGACAGCTTGCGTAGCTGAAAGCGCGACGTTCGATCGTCAGCGCTCCTTGTGCGAACATCGACACAAGACAATATATATGATTTAGGTTCATGGGTGTCTAAACTAAACTTTACAGTTATACTCACACTTTAATATTGTGTGCACACGAATTAAGAAGCGCCGGTAACATATATACCAACGTGGCTGGCACGACAAGTTTAATGCTCACTTGGCCGGGCACTGGGTAAGACCACTCTCGACGCATTGAGTTGGTATGGTTGAAGATTCTGCATTTGAGCTTCGGAACATTTCTAAATCTTACCTGAAATAAGTAGAAGAATAAGCATGACCAAATATACATTTACGCGGTGTGGCGGAATCGAACGACAGCTTTTTTTCTCGCCTCCGCTGGGAAAGCTTGCGAAGCAATCGAGAGAGCTCATTTACGTTTCCTTAACTTTGCGCCAAAAATAGTTTCCTCTTTCTGTTAGGAGTGGCGTGCAGCTCCAGGCTTACAAACACTGCAACTTAGAATCGTTACAGCCATACACGGATGATGTGATATGGCTGGTTTAAGCGGGGGCATATGCGAAAAAGGTGCATTATAGTTGTTGCGATACGTACGTGCGCCGATAAAATTACATGTGCTCGGTATCTGTTAGGGTAGCATCTCTCCCTGCCATCGAATCAAGCGTTTTATATTCAAAGACACCGAAAGAAACCACGGCACACGCTACAATAACATGCACGCTGCAGCTTCGCTGGTAGAGACGGTGTGTGCTCCAATATTCACGAGCGCTTGCCAGTAAAAATTACAGCGCTTCCAGCGCTTCGCAGTGCACACCAGCATCACAGCGGTTGAGCCAGCGACCCTTCCAGAGCGACACAGCGTTTTCCCATGGCGCCCAGCGAAGTGCCAGTGAAAACCAGCGTTCACCAGTGTCTCCAGCGTGTACCAGTGCCAAAAAACGTACTGGCATCACGCTGTTTTTGCGACGGGGAAGCACAAAAACTCCCCACTTCTCTCGCATTACTCATTTTGATGCACAGTCTACTCATCCAAACAGCATGTTGTAGTCTGCTGGGTACCAGGCAACCAAGAAATACGAGACAACGTTTTGGTGGACCAGCTTGCTGTGTCCATCAGCGAAACCACTACTAATAAATCGATACCAATTCCTGCACTTGACTTAAAACCTTTTATAAAACGATAGCACAGGGGTTATTGACAGAGCACATGGGACACACACACACAGGTAATAAACTGCATGTCATCAAGCCGCAATTTCGTCATTGGCCGCCAGTATCCAAATCATGCCACACAGAACTAATATTTACAAGGTTAACAACAGGACATACCCACACTACACATTCATTTCTTTTGTCTGGTGGCGATCCGTCTTTGTGTGGCAGATGGGGAAAAGCACTCACCGTACTTCACATTCTAATTATGTGTAAAGAATTAGACACGCTGAGAAGACAACACTTTTCATTACCCTACCGACAACAAATACCACTTCCTGCAACGTTCGTTTTTTAGAGAACCAGTTTTCACACATAAATTGTTGTTAGCTTGTTTGAGAGAAGTTTGTACCTATCACGTGATTTACCAGGGCATCTGGTAGCACAACCTCTCTAGAGAGGTCTACACTGGAATGGCCACACTGAACAAAGCACTTGCCTCACGGCCCTTGAATGCAAGGGTGTAAACGAAGGAGGCAGTTGTGCTAATGCAACATGTCCACCATGGTTCTTTATTATCACAAGAATTCGTCAACTATTGACACTACATACTTTTCACTACGTACATGGTCATGATTTTAATACCTCTATGTTTTTACTAGCCTTAATTAGCGCGAGGAATTTCAAGGTCCTTACACAGCCGCTCAACGCAATCATTGTCCACATCTCTAACTCCATGAACTGGCACTCTTTGGCCATTAAATGGCCCTTGTGACACAAAACTCCAAACATCATCATCACGGACGCACGGATGGACGCATGGACACACAGATGAATGCACAGATGAACGCACGAATGCAATGACGGACGCACGAATGCATGCACGTATGAATGCATGGACGGACGGAAGGACGCACAGACGGACTGGCGCACGCACGAACAAAAGGCCGTATAGATAGACGCATGGACGAACGGAAGCAAGAAGAAACGGACGAACCAAAGTGCGGGCAGACTGACGGAAGCTTTGCGCCACTTATCATCATGCACTCCGTGGATATGCTGTGATTTCTTAAGAGAGCATGGCCCGAATTTCGCTTCTTGATGTTCACAACTATTGCCGCAAAAGCAAGGACACCACGATTACCAAGCTGCTCGTCGTCCAAAGAAAAAAATCATACTTTCACCGAAAAGTGAAGCAGTCTGACAGAAACATTGAATTCTCACACGAACATTGATAAACAGCCCGGAAGTTGCACTGCACTGCTCATGCTCAAAGGACGCATGGACAGAACACGCGCACGACTAGCGCGAACTGGCAACTGTTGATGATCGACACTTGGAGCACGCTACCGAAACTTGTAGAAGGCTTTAGGAAAAAAACGCGCAGGTATACACAGGACGGCCCAGCAAATGCCACTGTGTGCGACATCTTGTTTAGAATCCGTGAAGCATTAGGATAGGTAAAGAGTTTGCCGGCCGCTTTAATTGCGCTCTCTCTCCACTCGTAGCACAGAACATGCTGAGAGCTATACAGAGAGGGATAACCAAGGGGGCAAGAAACTACGTCTGTTTGTCGGCGTGCATCGTGGCCTTGAACATCTGTTTTCTTTAATAGTGTACAGTGCAGGCACATCAGGATGTCCCACCACCGCTCAGCCAACGATGGAGCTCAAAATACTCAAATCAGCCAATGACGACGAATTTTGCATTTGAGCGACTTGGTCAATTTGGATTATGGCATCATTTGTGAACAGGACAATAAGCGATTCCAAGCTGACCTAAAGGAATGTTTACAATGCTTAGGCCGCGGAAAACAATTGAATGTCTGACTCAGGTGGTCTACAAAGCACCAGCTATATAGATGGAGAGCGTCTTCTGGTCCTGCTAAAAAGTGTTTCAGTACTCCTTTGAATTGTATGCGCCTATCGAACACTTTTCCCTCGGTATGGAGCGAGTGGGACGCTGAAAACAATGCCCTCCGTTGCAATCGAGACAGCGAGAACGAAAAGATGGCTTCTATAAGTGTGATAAATAGTGAACAAACGCACTATAGTCTGGTAGGAGCAAAGTGTTCGGGGAAGTAGAGGGATTGACTGCAAATTGTTTGGTTTTTGCAACCCTGTACATGCGCGCCCACAGGAAACTCACCCACGAACGTGTATAAATTATGCGTAAGCACCCCCCCCCAAAAAAAAAAAGCAAGTATAGCTACCCAACTGCTTAACACGGCAGGCTTTTTGTATGACAAAGATCATCGCAGGCAACGTAGAAATTAAGAAAGCAGCAGAATGGTTGCCTCGTCTACTATGCACCAGATAAAAGCATGTTAGGTTGATTTGATTTGGTTGAAGCAAGTGCTGCAAGTGTGGTCAGTTTGATGCTGTAAATGGCTGAAGAGTTTGACTAACTTACCTTAATTTTGAGAGAGAAAACGTCCGCATGACCAGATAATTCTAATACGCAGAGTTTTTGTTGACTGCATATGTGTCGTGAAAAAAAAGCATTTTCTAAGAAGAAATAAAACACACAGAGTGTGTTTAACAATGAACTGCCGATAACAGCACGGTTGTTCTAGAGTTAGATGGTGGCACCACAAGTGCGAAATGTTTAGTGCAATCATACCTTACTATTCTGCTGCTTGAGAGATTGCTAGCACGCAAGCCTTGCCACCGACGACCTTATGTTTTTCTTTGTAGTTGAGCAAGTGACCAAGCTGCACTGTCTAGAACAAAAAATATGTTGAACTTCACGCTGAAGGACTGTGTAAAGCTGCTTCTATCTCGCAGAAAAAAAGGGCGATGCAATGTGGAAAGGAGCATTTATTCTTACGTGATTTATTAAGTTCTCATACGTGCCCATCTGCAAGTATATTTTCTTATACACTACAAGTATTTGACATGCCAGAGTACTCATTCTTTTTTCAAAAACGTGTGACAACTGTACTGTGAAAGAAAAAAATGTTTTTAAATGCTGCTTACGAAGTACTGGAACAAATACCGTAAATGCTGTGAAGCATCACTATACTCAAAAAAGAGAGTACCACAGTGCTTCGGCAGTAAGTGTTAAAGTAGCTCTCCTCGTGCCTATACTTATTATTCGCCAAATTTTTTCGCTTCAGACCAACAGACTGAAGACGCTCGTGATTACCAAAGAAACTGCGCCACCCCATTAATGGAAGAAGTACGATTCTGCGGTGAGCTGAGGATATGGCGCTACTTCTACAACAAAACATCCAATCGGTGCGAGAGATTTTTCTGGGATAACTGTCTCGACGATGGCGTCCATGTGACACGTATCGATTGCGCTAGAAAGTGCAATCACGGTAAGTAAACACAGTACAATAGTAGAACTCCATTCAATAGTTCATTTTTCATGCTATTCTATGCGTCGGTGGCTTTTAAATGAGACACACATTTGCGTTTGCCGCAATGTAGAAGGTTGACCAACTGAAATTGCTGCAATCTTGAAACAAGAGGGCGGAATCAAAGGACGGTCGCCGTGAAAGTCAATTGCACGTGGCTATGAGAATCAGTTGGAGTGAATGAAGTCTCAAGCTTCTTGTCATCTGCAGAGAAGAGGCGTAGGCGCAGTCGTTCATAGCTGATCCACACGTGGTTCATTCATGCATTTGAAAAGGAATGCGGCAGGATGTGACCACGCACCACATATTCATGCGCGACTCTACGGACGCCGTATTCCGAGCTCATTTTGCCAGTTTAGTTTGGGTGGTTGTGGGCACCACATTTTGGATGAATTAAAACATGTCAGTAGGAAAACTTGCACTGCTTTACAGCTGCTAGGAGATATATAAATGTGATTTTTGTCGCGTACTTTACGGCCGCCGCGTATACAGTGTGCGCCAGTGCAATAAATAAGGCGATGTATTTTGGGGGACATAGTGGCACCTAAGCCAATCACATAATCGTAATGTTTGCTGTGTTGTTATACCCTTGATTTGTACTATACAGAATATAATAGAGACAAAAAATATAAAACTATGTACTTCAACCACTCGACCACTAGCTTTTGTGAATCTGTCATTTGGTTTGTGCTGCCATGATAGCAGAATATTGCAATGGTGGGACCATATTTTAGCCTTTGTTCCACTAAAGAAAATTTGCTTCAGCTAAATTTTATGGTAACCTGGCTGGTATAGTTTTCAGTCGTAGGCGCTTTGTCGCAGATTTTTCATGCACCATCCTACGACGGTACAGGTGTCTGTTGCATGGGCTCAACATACTGTATAGGGGCGTTTCTGCTAAATTTATAATTTTATTTTATAGCTTATGCACCGCACACAGGCAAAATAAAACAAAAATTGAAAAATAGTATGTTTCACTGAAATCTTGAGAGTAGTAATTGATGCACTTTATCAATAATAGCATCTTGTTGAAAACCACTCGAAATCTGTATAATTTACTCAATCTTTACTAGGCGCTACCCAGCAAAAAATGTAAACCTAGCGTAAAGAACTACCCTACAATAAAAGCACTGGGCTCGACCGGCGCAAGTAAATAAAGAATAAAAAAATGCGCAGAAGGTCGATTTATTGGGAACTTTCTTTTCGTGCGTGCTTTCCCCAGTTTTGCGAAGTTCAAATCGTGGTCACGTGCGGAAAAGATTTCTGCCACTTAAATTATGTTGGAAAAGTTGTGTACAACTAAGATTTATACGTGTGTAACTTTCTCCGTAATGTTTCTTGAATTTATCTGCGAAGAGTGCCTCAATCAGAACCATTGGCATGGAATGACCCACCTTCAATCTCCTTACCCCCAGTGCAGGGTGATAAACCTTTTGTGTGTCCAGTTGACACCCCTGACTTTTCTTATTTTTCTTTCTCCTCCTCCTTCTCCTCCCCTTCTCACCCTCCTCCGTGAATCACCATCGCTAGTCTCTTGCGCGTGGTAAGTAACCGACTATTCAGAACAGTGGTGTTAATCGTATGATGAATGAATGAAGATGAGATGGAACAACAATCTTCATCACAAGAGGAAGACGCCACGACATTGACATTCAAACAACACCATCTCCTTCTCACTGTTCCACTGCCATCTATCGCATTTTATTTAGACAAGGTAAATGCACCAAATTATATTTAGTGGAGGTGCGGGTAATCCACGTTATCTGCACCCTGGAACTCCGATTCTGAACTGTTACGTCGGCCATGATAGCTCACGCTGCCCAAGAGAGCCTCACGGCCGATGTTTGCTCCGGCCTGGTTCACCAGTGAGACACCCCTATGTTTGCCGGACCGGAAAGCTAGGCCGTCGAAGACTAGTTTTTGTCGTACGAAAAGCTTAGTGGACCCAACCACTGGGACGACGCTGCTAAGCAGAGCACTGTGAACATTTGCCTCACCATCAAGGCGAGCTGGGATGTACGAACCACGAATCTGAGATGGAGCACTGGCTGTCTTTCAAGCAGACAATAACCTTGATTTTTCGACGCCCTGCCTTACGAAAGTTACGTGCCAAACAACGCCTACGTAATCGGCCACAAGAACCAGGGGAACAATCTACCACCTATATCGAGGGCACCGATCACGGCAATGAAGCACGCCGATGTTTCAGTGACCGAAAGTGCTAACATACAGAACGTCATGACGGCCATCGAAGATGATATTTTTTATGTGCTCCTAGCGAAGTCTCTCAGCACTGCGCCTGAAGTGGTAACCCAGCGTCAGAGCTTTGACGTATTGACAAGACAACGAGCTCTCACGGTGTTCATACCCGACGATTCAACCACTGATAGCACATGATTTCATTCCAAACCAGTCATATTTCGTCACACAAACGAAAGACTTTGTGCGGGAAGAATTCGCTTGTCAGTCTTTTCTCCTCCCGTTTGTTCATCACCAGGAGCTCTCACAGCAGCAGTCACAGCGGCTGCCAACCCTGCTGGCTGCCATGCTCCAACAAAATCTTCAAGAACAGATTTCTGAGGCCATGCGGGTGCCATTTCATCTACACCTTCTCGCCTCGCCTCTTACTTACGCTGAGGCACTAAAGCAGCAGCAGCTATGCCAGCCCTCACAGTGCCTTGGAGTGCGACATGCCTTACCATCGCTTCAGTCATGTTCTACATGGGCTGCTTTTCGAAACAGCCGACTGTCACAAGAGCCTGGAGAACCCACGACGATCGGCCAGCCTGCTTCACATGCGGCGGCCATGGCCATGTAATTATATTAGTGCCAGGACACGTACAGGCTCATTCACAGAATAGCTGCATGGGCAATCCCCCTTCTCGATATGAAAGCTCACATCCTCATATAAGCATGTATTCGCGTGACTATCTGCACACTACGTCTGGTCACTCACTTTCACCCCGTCGACGCTCCTTGTAACTCATGCGTCGTCGGCCAGCTCCCCAAAACGAAGTAAACTAGCAAGGACTGTTTTCGGGGTGAAAGTGTGCTGTTATAATGCACAAGTTAGCAAATGTTGCCATCAAATGTTTTAAAAGCTTTTCTTGAAATTTTGTATATTGTCGATACCGGTGCTGCCATTTTTGTTATGGACGAAGAACTGTTGCAACTTTCGAAAAGTGACCGCACCACGTGCTATGATGTCCTTGTGTACAGCGAATGGAGAACTTGTTTAGCCTATCGTTCAGACTTATTGTAGCGAACGACAAGTACATTGTTGAGTTTATCGTCCTTCCATCCTAATTGCAGGGCGTCATACTTGGCTTGGATTTTCTATCACACGATAACGCCGTGATTGATTCTGCCAGATCTGAACTTAGACGCTTGATGTTATATGATAAATTCTCAAATCATGTTCAGCAAGCCGCACATAAGTTAGTCAATGAAGATACTAAATGAAGATACTGAAATAAAGAAGATATTGAAATTCCGTCGGCAGCAGCTCTTTTGCTCCCCGTCTTCTGTGACGGCATTTGGGATGAAGCTGCAATTTTTTGAACCATCAAAACTTTTCCTGTGTTCGAAACCACTTCTTCTCCCCGGTTCGACCCCCTCCATTTTTCTTGCAAATAGATCTTTCTTTTTTATAAATCCTTTTCCGTATCGCATTAAAAAGCTGAGAGGTAAATCTCTTGAATGAGCACACATCATTGAGAAAGAACAAATTTTTGCATCTCCCATGTTCCTTTCTTCCTTCGTTCAGCTCCAACTGAATCTCAATTGGAGCTGAAGGAAGGAAGAAAGAAAAATTAGAGAAAGAAAAAGCAGTGATGTTAACCACTTTAAAAGAACTTCCGATTCTTTATACACATGACATTTTCAGGGGAAGAAAAATGCTTGATTGATTTGTGGGGTTAACCGTGCCAAAACCACGATATGAATATTGATACGTGTATGGAACTGTCGCCCCGACACAGCTGAATTGGCCCCCAAATGAAGAAGACGACAACGTGGTTGTTGTGGGTTGGACTCTCGAGCTTCTCCCGTTGGCCTGCTTGACTGTGCGCTCTCTAAGCCGTTAGCAAGACCAGCTCTCGGTGAATAAATCTTCCTCGCAACATCTTTTGGTGGAAGGTGCGGGGTCTTTACACAAGCCGGCTGTGGAACTCCGCAGTGGACGCTAGCTTTGTCCAGCCGCGATACCTGAAACCGGAACTCAGGCCTCGCCATCTACGCCGGCTCCATCACCTGTGATTCCCTCCCATTTTCTCGACCCTGGCATGTTTTCCGGGACGGACAGCACGGACGTTGAAGAATGGCTCGCATTATTCGAGCGCGTCAGCAAGCACTACAGGTGGGACGAAACGCTTATGCTGGCAAATATTCTATTCTACCTACGGGGTACGGCACGCGCCTGGTATGAGACGCATGAAGAACTAACCAGCTGGGACACATGCAAGCAAAAGCTTCGCGGTTTGTTCGGTCCGTCAGTTGCTCGTCCGATTGCAGCCAGGCAGGAACTCGCGTCACGTGTTCAATCATCGACGGAGTCGTACGTCACGTACATTCAAGACGGACTGGCTCTGTGTCGGAAGACTGACAAAAACATGTCCGAGGCGGAAAATATCAGCAACGTGTTGAAAGGCATTGCTGATGATGTTTTCAACATACTAATGTGCAAGAACTGTGCCACTGTCGACTCCATCATATCTGAATGCCGACGATTTGAACAAGCTAAAAGCAGGTGAATAACCCACCACATCACGAGACTACCAAACACTGCTGCGACTTCGTCTTGCGAGGATTCTGCAGCGCCCCGTTCACTTGCGCCTCCTGCCAATATCGCAAGGATTGTTCGCCAGGAGCTGGAAGCCATGGCACCCGCTTCCTATCAGCCCCCTGCGCAAGACAACTGGGCAACAGTCTCGCTTATTCAAGCCGTCGTACGTCAGGAGTTT